CGCCTGCGTGCCCCCCCCTGCCTCTGTCCCTCCCGCTGCCCCACAGTGCCCTACAGACAGCTTTTCCAGCTCTGCTTGTGGCATCTCTTCCTCTTTGTCCTCCTCTACCTTCTTTTCCTTCTCTTCCTCTCTGTCCTCTCTTACTTCTTCCTCCATCTTCTCCCCATTCTCTTCTTCCTCTTTCCCCTCCTCTTTTTCTGCTTGTTGGGTCTCTTCCTTATTATCCTCCCCTTTCTTCTCTTCCTCTGTGTTCTTGTTTACTTCCTTCTCCATCTTCTTCCCTTCCTCTTTCCTCTCCTTTTTCTCTGCTTGTGGGGTCTCCTTCTCTTTGTCCTCCTCTACCTTCTTTTCCTTCTCTTCCTCTCTGTCTTCTTTTTCTTCCTTTTCCATCTTCTCCCCTTCTTCCCCCTCTTCTTCCTCTTCCCCCTTCTCCTGTTTCTCATCTCCCCCCTCTGCCCCCCTCTCTGTTTCCCAGCTTTCTGGCTCTGCCCTAGAGGTGTGCAGGTTTTCTTCTTCCTTCACTCCTGTCCCATCTTTCACCTCCACCTCTGCAGGCTGCCCCTGGGTCACTTCACCTCCTGGCACTGCCCCTTCACCCCCAGCCCTGGGGGTCCCTTGTTCTGCTTGGTCAGCCCCTGGTTGTTCTGCTTCTCCCATCCCTGGGACCCCAACCTCACCCTGGGATGCCCCTTCCTGCAGCATCGCCCCATCTCCCCCCTCCCCGCTCTCCTGCCCCTTGCTGGCCTGTGGCCCTTGGGATGGCTGGAAGAGCCCTTGGTAGCGCTTCCGATCCTCCACGTGCTTCTTCCTCATCCTCTCCCCGAGCTGCTTCAGCTCCTTCTTCACGGCGGCTGCCATGGAGGGGTCGAGGTGAGCCAAAAACCTCCCGCTCGTTCCACACAGCAGCGTGAGCCTTCGCCCGCTTGAAATAGGCCTTGGCGTTGTCTGCCAGGAGAGGGGGGCCCCCGGTCCAGCCCCACAGGAGGGCACATGGAGCAGGGGTGGATGCTATTGGAGGCAGGGGCACCATCATGGGTAGGGTTACTTGTGCCACTGCAAGCACCAGCGGGCAGGGGATGCAGGTATCATCATGGGCAAGGGGAATAATGGTGGTCAGGGGAATCTGGATGATGTGGGACAATGTCATGGGAGGATACAGGGTGCAGGTGCCATCATGGGCAGGAGGACTTGGGACACAGGTTCTGCAATGGACATGGGGATCCAGGTGACACAGGTACCATCACAGGCAGAGGGACGTGGGATGAGCATTGTCACGGTTGGGGGATCCAGAGGACGGAATGCCTGGGGGCTGTGTGCACAGCAGGGTGGGATGCAGGGCACAGGTACCTTTGTGTTTCTGGAGGAGCTCTGTCGTGTGCTCCAGCACCTCGTAGTACTCTCCCAGCTCCAGTTGGCACTGGCAGTAGTTGAGCACCAGCGGCGTGACCAACCTCTCCAGCTTCAGCCAGCCTTCTTCCCATGGCTTTCCCTCCCCCCGGGGGGCCCATT